CAAGTTAATCTTGAGCTTATCGCAATTCTCCTGCCTCATTCTTCCCAGTGCTAGGATTTCAGTCACAGACTACACCCAGGTCAAAAACCTCGTGTGTGTGTGTGTGTGTGTGTGTGTGTGTGTGTGTGTGTGTGTCTGAAACCTCTACCCCAGAGCAAGTCTTAACCAAGGTCACCTTTGGGAGGAAGCACAGCTCCAGCGAGCCAGCTCTGGGCCCCTTGCAACTGCCTGAAACAAAGATGGCATTGGAGCTTGGTCACCTTGTTCCAGGAGACACAAAACAAGGACAGTGAGGGTCTGTCGCCAGGAGTGGGCTGTCCACGCCTGCAGTCACTAATCAACAGCACTGGTGAGACCTGGCGCAGCAGGACAGTGTCTCAGTTCACACTGGAGGTTCAGCAGAGAGAAGAAAATAGGGAGATGACACTTCACGCAGACAGATTGCTGTGCGCCTGGCCTGAGGCCGAGCCCTGTGAGAAGAGCCAACACCGAGGCACAGGGATGCTCATGGGACATCTGAGGCCAGGGTTGGCGAGGCAGAGCTTCGCCATCAGGGATGGAATTAGAATTTTGAGGACAGAAAACGTTTTTACTGTCTATGGAGTTTTGCCACCCACACTACAGTCTTACTTGCTAAAGTGGTGTCACCATCCCAGAAGGCTGGACAACTCTGGGCTGGGTCTTTCCTAAGAGTGTTCCAAGTCTCTTCTCTGTCATGCCCACCACAGGACCGAACCATCCTAAGGTCTTCTTACTGGACACAGTTCCTTATCAAATACAGTGAGGTGTGCTCCCACACACCTGGCTCTAGACATCCGCAAAGCTAGGTTTTACCTTTGACGGTGATCCCCTTTAACCATCAGCCCAACCTACTTTCTCATTGAGAATTTTGAGATGAGTCCTATAGTTGGATATAATGGGGCATATGTATAATTCCAGAGTCTGGGGGGCCAGAGGGTCATGAATTCAAGTTTACCCTTACCTTTAAAGCACATTTTGGGGTGCCTGTCTCCAAAGACAAACCAAACCAAAAGCCAGAAAACAAAAACAAACAAACAAACAAAACCAGTCAAGTCCTAACCCTATGCATTTATTTATTTTGCTTTTTTGAAACAAGGTTTCATGCTGTAACTCAGGCTGCCTTTGAACTCATGGCAAACCTCCTGCCTCAGTTTCCCAAGTGCTGGGACTGCAGGTATGTGCTACCCCAAACAGTGTAGAAGTCCTAACTTTTAATATTTAAAAGGAACTCTGTCCAGGGATGGGTCCTCATCACTTCCTAGGCATGGGTAACTGTCACTAGGTTGTCCTGGTCTGAGAAGGAAGAACTGGAGCTTTTTAAATGATTCAGCTAATGTGTATGTAAAATCTACCAAAGCAGACACCACGATGAACACCAGTGGGGAAACCCCTCACACCCATCAAAGCACCAGGGATGCACGATTTTTGTAGGCTGGTTCTGAGACTGTGGCAGTGAGACCAAGACCTTTGAGGGTGGCCACCACCCTGCCCATGCCCTGGAAAAACATTCTTTCAGTGACCCGCCCCTTCCTTGCCCTTTTACTTCTCTTTCTAATCTGGAGATCAATTGTCCTGGCACTGCCAATGTCCACACAACAGCAATACCAGTAGGAAAAGGACAAACATAACATGAGTTTACATTTCAGTGTCTTAGGGTCTCTCCCAGCACTATGACAGGGGACAGAGATTGCTCAAGAAAGCATAAGCATCTATTTGGAGGTTCCCAGAGCACCCCTGAAGCACACACAATGCCCCCCTTTGGGACCATGTGTGCCCAGCAGGACTTGGGTTAGTTGGATTATTTTCCTTTTGGTTATTTCCTCTCCAAAAACCCTGCTGGGATAGGACTTATTGAGAGCACAATGTTCCAGGGCTCATAACCAGCCAGTTCTTGTTCCAAGCTGCCGAGGTACCCTGGGGTTGACCTCTTTGGGGCTCCTCCCTGGGCCTCCCAATTCCTCCCCGGCAAGATGAAGGGGGAAGCAGTCATTTGAAAGGAGGCCACCACTGGACCCCCAAATGCCAGATTTCTGTCTCTTTCAAGAAAGGTTATGTGGGTACAGACGGTTTCCCAAACTGTCAGCTGTATCACAGGTGGAACGCCAGCTGCCATCCCAGACAGTCAAGGCCCAAGGCCACCAAAGCTGCCCAGGCCCAACACAGCTGATCGAGGGATGAAATGCGTGACTGCCAACTGCCCTCAGCTTCATTATAAAGACGCCTGGCAAAAATGTCCATTCTTATCATGCATCTGACATCACATCACATCCAGGACCCCATAAGAGGACAAGAAAGGGGAAATTTCAACTCATTTATGGAGTTCCCCATATCTCCCCAACCTTAACTCATGAGTAATCTTCCTTCCACTACATATTGCCTCCGAGACTCTAGGCTTCTGGCTGATGCATGTTCTCTCTGTAGTAAACTTTCTCCCAATTCCTTATTTAATCTGGTGTCTGAATTCTTTCTCTGCTGGTCACGCTGGATAGAGATCTCAATCGAACTCACAGGAACCTGGATTCAATGAATAGAGATCTCAATCGGATCAATCTCTGAGACTTCCTAGCCTTTAGTCACAGGAAATACCAAGCACCCTGAGGAGATGGGGTCTTCAGACACACAGGAGGACCCCCGAGGGTCCTTGAGGATCTGGGTATGTGATTGAGCTTCTGAGGGCAGGACAGAACCTGTGTCTTATGTTAATACTGGAGTGTTTACCCTAGAATTGTCTTTAATGGTGTCTGAAGAAGAAGGCTAGGGATTCCTGTTTGAGCTTGAGGTGGCTTAAAGTTCAGGCCCCTCAGCAAGCAGTGCTATTTGGCTAGAACTTACTATCACTGTGTTATCTTTTATCCATTTTTAGTCTATTTTTGTGGTCATCTCTCTATAGCATTCAACACCAATTCCAATTATCTTCTTCAAAACAAACTTATCCTTTTCATAAACAACCCTAGAAGTTTAAAGAAAAAATATTGGACTCATATTGGTTTCAGAGGTGTACCCAAAATTATGTTTTGGAAGTGAAGCGTCCAAACCTGCTCCTGGCATTTGGAGAGCTTCCATAAGTGGTCTTTAGAAGCAGGCAAGGTCTGCTCACACATCCTAAAATAGGGAACCCACAATCTCTCAAAAGCACGTTCAGCCAATCCTCTCTGGCTTCAGACCTGAGCCAGGTCCCTGTACCTGAGGGAGATGTTTTTAGAGGGAGAGCTTCTATTTGCTCTAGCAAGAAGGTGTATCCTCACGGTGCCTCCCTGCCAATTCTTCCCAGGGTCCTCTCTGACCAGAAACAGGGTCACATATGGAGGCTAATACTTGTGGCAACTGAACGTGAACTTTCTGGAGCAGAGACTCCCTGGCTGACAAGAAGACCCTGGACCCTGAAGACATCACCAGAGGTTCCCAGGACAAAATGTGAGTAGGTGCCAGTCACACAACCCCTCCAGGAAGATAACGATCATAACCGAGTGTGACACGATGACCTGGGCTGAGCAGCCAGTCCCTTCTCCACATAAAAAGGAAGAGGTCTGCCCTTGCCCCTGAGGCTGCGTGGGAGCTGGGCTGTCATCTGTGCAGCCTCGTGCCTGGTCGCAGAGCTGACTGCAGGATCCACACACTCAGAGATGACTTCTGTAAACTTTATTTTTGAAGATAGTCTTGCTGTGTAGCCCAAGTTGGCCACAAACTCTGGCTCCTTCTGCCTTCACTTCACCAGTCCAGATTATAAACTCATAACGCCTTTGGGAGCAGAGGAAGGTTTGTTTGTTTTTGTTTGTTTTAAATTCAGATGGGATCTTATTAGGTAGCTCAAGCTGGGTTCCCACTAGAGATCCTCCTGCATCAGCCTCCCCACAGGTAAATAGGATTATCTGTATGCATCACCACACTTGACTCACATGTCTTTTCAATTAAATGCAATACACCAAAGAAGGGAAAATGTGTGGAGAGTTTTTGGCATCAGCTGTTGATACGATGGCCACAGCCAGTGGCTGTCAGCTGTTACTTGGCCAAACTCAGCTGGACTCATTCCGCCTACTGTTTTCCACTTCCTTCAGTGATGCGTTTGAATCACTTTTTAAAAATAACCGTTGTTTGCTTCATGTTTTGAGACCAGGTTTACTTTTGTAACCCAGGCTGGCCTTGAACACACTATGGAAATGGGAGTTGCCTTCTGCCTCAGCCCCCTGAGTATGGGCTTACAAGCATGAGCCATTGCCCTCGTATGGCTAATTATCTTGATTTTATAGATGTGGAAACTGGCCCAGGGGGGCTCAGAAATATGTTCAAAGTCACACAGCCAAGAACGCTTCAGTGTGAAGGTGATTGGTATATTCAGTCTTGATCTCACTTCAGTGCTAATTTCAAAACCAAGATGAGTTCTGGGAAGAGGCCCCGAGGGCTGGGGGAGGGGACAGGAACCCTGTGGGCTCTCCAGATGAGGGTGCAGCTTAGTTCAGCACCTCGCTGCACTGAACCCACGGTAGGAGCGCGCACCGGTTGACCTAGGCGGGAGAATGGAAGGCGGGGACTTCTTTTGCCGGGCTGTAGTCGTACCCCACGCCTGAGGGGATCGCCAATCGCGCCCTCCACCGCCTCGGCTCCACGTTTGAGCGCGAACCTCGAAGCAAGTGGAACCTACGACGCAATGAAGCCTGAGCTGTATTTTCCTAGCCTGGCTCGGCGTTTCCCAGCTGCATCCTCCAGTGACGCTTACTAACTGCAAGAGAAATCACCGCAAGCAAAGCCCGAATAGGTCCCACCCACTGTCCTGTCCCTGCCCCGCCCCAGGTCCGGCCCCTCCGTTCGGCCCCGCCCCGGCGAGCTCCCGCCACTGTCACCTCCAGCCCGGGCGGGGCCCCGCCCGAACGGCGCTTCCATTGGCTGTGGTGGCGAGGCCACTGCCCCTAACCCTGCAGGGGCGGCTTGGGCGATGAATGAAGCGCGAGTGGGCTGCGCGCGAGGGCCAGAGCGCAGGGCGCAGCGCGGCGGCCGGGTTCGCGGGAAGGTGAGTGGTCTGGGACCTGGACTGCATTGGGGACTCGGACCGGGATGGGGACTGGGTCTGGCGCCGCCGCGGGACGCCTCCTGGGTATGCCAGATCCCTGCCTGCTGGAGGCAGGAGCGCGGCAGGTGTTAGCGGAGGCTGGGCTGAAGCCCGGCAGCGTCTGGGCGGCGCGGGGTGCGCTGTCTGACGGGAAGCAGACCCCAGCATCCGTGAGACATCCCAGGGCCCGTCTTGGGGGACAGGGCGGGACCAAGGAGCCGGATGCAGAATTCACCCTTTCTCACTGCCAGCTGCCCAGGAGCGAAGCTGCAGAAAGGGGGGGTGAGCGGGGAGGCAGAGCCGCTGCGCCAGAGCGAGAAGGAAGATGGGAGAGGGCTGGGGCGTAGGACTGAGCGCGGGTTGCCGCTCGGGCTGCAGGGTTAAGGGTCCGCGAGTCTACGCAGGTGCAAGCCCCTGCGGGTCTGGTCAGGAACAGATCCACCTGGGCGCGGTGGCTGTTGTCAGAGGAAAACGTGAAGCAGGAAAGTTGCTCACGAGTGGCGGGCTTTGTCCCTCCGAGGAGCGCGGATGGCCAGGTCCCTGAGGCCCGGCACGTTCACGCAGCTCCCGGGCGCCGCCGGACGCGGGAGTACGCCTACCAGGGTTCGGGCCGCCCTGGTGCCTGGTTGGCAAAGCTTGGCTCCAGAGCTGGTAAACTGGAGACAGGGTTTCTCCTTCACGGGAGAGCTCAGCATCTATCTGCAGGTGTGCGGAAGTGTGAGATGGAGGCACACAGTCGCATCCTGCTGGGCCCCCAGGCGCGGTGGCCTGAGTTTAGCGTGATGAGGCGTTCTGGCCTCCCAATACATAGCCATGGGGTTTTTCTGACCAGAGGCGCTGAAGCCGCGATGGTTTATTCGTGATGGAACCAGCTTTCCATCCCTACGTCAGGGCAGCATTCCCCCCCCCCCCCCCGGTTTAGTAAACCAAGGCAGCTGTCTAGTCAACTGCTGTTAGGCAGCCTAGGGCAGGTGGAGTCAAGGGAGAGAACACCGGGGGCTTAGCCGAATTATTTATAAGTCGTAGCTGTGGTAATGGGGACAGGAGGAGCTGTTTGCTGAGCCTGGCATTTGCTGGCTTGAGAGGGTTTTGGACAAGAGCAGTTCCAGGCAGCATTTGTAAAGTACCCTGGCACCGAGGAGCAGGCTGAGGCACCAGGACATTTGGAGTGCCTAGAATTGACCCAGGGGAGGCTGGAGGTTTGTATGCTTTGTCGTTCAGTCTTTTCTCAAGAGAGGAAAGTCAGGACAGAGTCAGCAGTTACCAAGACAAGACTATAGCAGTGACCGAAGGCTGTCCATGCGCTGCGAAGAGGCGCAAGACCAAGGGTTTCTTGGTTGGGTCGATCTTATCTTGCCTGCCCACTAGGAAAGGCCAACAGGTACTGCCTGGAAAATTCTTCCTGGATGATCTAACTCTGGCTCATTGGGTGTGGTCCCTGAAGCAGGTGATGGACAAGTCCCAACCAGAACCTTCCTTAATACTGCAGAGGGACCAGGCAGGCAAGAAGAAGGCTGGGCAAAGAGAGGGGCAGGGCAGGCAGGATAAAGACCTTGTGAATGGGCCCAGGAGGAGAGCTACTGATGTCCAGTAACTGCTCAGCCCCTGGATGAGGAGCTCTCTGCAGCAGGTTGGACTCTATGCCTGCCTTCCGGACACTCAGGTTTTCAGTTTACTGATGCTGAAGCTTGAGACCTGGTGCTGTAACTGAGTCCTCTCTATTACAGGGTGCTGTTACTGAGTCCTCTCTCTATTACAGAAGTCTTCTGACTGAGCCTAATTCCCAGGTGGGTGCTGCTGTATGAATTCATACTATCTCCCAGGCTGGAACAGGCTGAGTTCCCAAACTTTCCCAAGTAGGTTCATTGCAGGATGAAACCTTTGAGACATAGAAGGGTCAGTGCTGACTCTGGTGCCCTTGGAATGCTGCTGTACAGAGATTGGGTACTTCCTGATCCCCATGACCACTGGAAAAGACCATGGGTTAATCCTTGGAACCTCACCTCCAACCTTGTTCTGGGATTCTGGTGAAAGTCTGACCTTACTTTGGTCTTGATGAGCAAGAGGGACAGGGAGGCCACAACCCTTGTTCTCAGCTACTGTGAGTAATTGGACAGGCCCTTGGGGATTTTGTCCCATGTGTCAGTGGCCAGAGTTCTGCCTGACCAGTAGAGCCTGGAAGCTTTGCTGGTGGGGAATGGAGGAACTGGGCCAGCATGCTGGACCTGGGTTGTATCCTCTTGTGGGTCACTGCAGAGGCAGCAGCTGGCCCAGAGTAGTCTGGGTTCTTTGTTGCCTCTGCCTCCCTTTGATCATCCCTCTAACTGGCTGCTCTAGGATGGAGCACTCCTTTTTTTTTTTTTTTTTCCTGTGGACAGGCATCATGACATCATTCTTGGTTGCCTTTAATCCCAGGACTCAGGAGGTAGGGACAGCTAGAACTCTGTGAGTTCAAAGCCAGCCTGGTCTACATAGTGAGCTCCAGGACAGCCAGCTAGGCAGGAAGACCTTGTCTTGAAAAAACAAACAAAAAAGAATTCAAATTCTGGGCCACAGCTGTAGATGAGGGTGGTGTTTTCTCAAACCACTTGCCTTTTAGAAAGCACTAACTTGTAGCTCAGAACCCGGGGGCCATGGATAGGGTGAGGTTTGCTGCCATTGTCTGGGAGCTGAGTGACCTCTAATATGCCCTTTCTTCTTCCCCACCCACGCGCTATCCAACTCCCTTTCATATGTTCAGGATTTGCCTTGCAACTTCTAAACCTTCAAGCTTTGAAGGCATGTATCTGATGTTGCCCCCTCAGACCCACATAGGATTGTCTGAGCATGGTCCTCTCCACCCCACCCATACCTACTTGGCACCCTTGAATTTTGTACTTGAGTACCTCTGACCAGGACACTCTGCAAGTATATACACACCGTAAGAGGCCACCTGGAGGCATTGGCCTGGCTATGCCAGGCAGGTAGGTCTCTTATCTAGCTAGAGCTGCCTCCCTCTGAACCTGAAATCATGAAGGTTGTCACCAGAATCATTCACTGCCCCCGAGAATGTAGAAGAGCTGTGAGAACGATGATCACATGGTTCCCCATTGCAGGAACCATCACACCAACAGTAAAGAATGAGCAGGGACAGAGCAAGCTACAGGTTGAGGTTACTGATCCCAGAGCTGCAGGTCTGTTCCCCATGAGCCCCTGTGGCAGCTGGGCCCATTTATGTAGAGGGCTGAGTCCTTCATCTCAGTACCACAGTGCAAGAGGGAAACCAAAGACCAGAGGGGCCTGTGACAGCATCTACCTGGCCCCTGCTTCTGCAACATGCCTTGACCGGCAAGGTTTCCATTGTCTTTTGGAGCATGGTGCATGGCAGAACCCTCCACTTGCTCCTTGATCCCCAGATACAGAGAGGATGGGAGCAAAGCTTCCTAGGTTGAGACAGCAGACCTTCTGTGTGGGACATGTCCTTCTGGTGCTAGCCCTGGTGTCCCTTACACAAGTTCCCTGATAATTAGTCTATGGCAACTTCTGGGCAAAGCTGCTGGTTTCCTGTGCGTTCACCTGCACGTGGCTTCAGGTGTGCAAACTGAGGTGCTTTGGTGGCCGGCCCATATGCTGTGCCCCTTGCCTGAGCCTCATCCTGAAAAAACTGAAAACACACTCCTCTTGTCTGTATGAGGGGATAGCCAGGAGAAATTAGGAGGCAGAGAAGAGTCCCAGGCTCACAAGGGTAGCTGCTTGCCAGGGTGAGGTATCGGCAGGGAAGTCAGGAGACACGGGCTTGGTTTGCTGGTGGCCCCAGAGCAGTAGGGAGCAGTGAACGGAGAGTTGCCTTTGTCTCCTTTTTCTGGCTGGAGCTGAGGGGCATTGGCGTCGGGGGAGAAGAGAGAAGGGAAGAGGAATGAATCTGGTTTGCTAGATGTCAAGGTCTGAGGAGGTTCTAGGATGTGGGCCTCAAAGCATCTCCGAACAAGGATCTAATCCTGCTAGACATCCAGCTTTAGGACTTTAACATGTCCGGCAGAGACTCAACTGGCAGGGACCTGGTGCAGCATACTGCTCTGAATTCTCTCTTCCAGATTGCAGTGTGAGCTGAGGCCTTGGGGACTGCTCCAGCTGGGAGTTTAGTAAGTGGATGGACAAAGGGAATAAGCAAGCAGAGAGGAGCCTGAGGCCACTCGAACCAGGCCTTTTCTCACAGATTAGGTGTGGCAGGCTGCCTCTGGCCACTGACCTCTCCAAGGAGGTGGCCACAGCTAGATTCTTCTAGAACCAAAAGACCACATCAGCTTGGATGCTGCCCTTGCAGCCCCTAGGACAGCTTGGGGGGGGGTTTGTAAGGGAATCTTGGTCACCCGTGGCCTCCTAAAATAGCCCACATGCATTACCCACGACTGTCACATGCCTGCCCTTCCCACAGTGCTCAGCCTCCAGCTGAGGCCCCAGGGCTTCATCATCCCGGGCTAATCAGCTTGGCCTAATCCCACAGGGCTGTGCTGCTGGGCTGTCTGGGTGGAGCCAGCCTGGTGGGCTGAGACACAGAACAGGGAAGGTTGGCTCCCTAGAGAGTGGGCTACGTGAAAGAGCCATAGCCCTGCTTCTCCCCACCTGAGCAGTAGGGGCTCAGCTGAACCTGCTCAGGCTGAGAAAGATCCTCCGAGCCTGGTGCCGGCTTCTCCCGGCCTCGAAAATTTTTCTTCCCTGCCACACAGCTGCTAGAAGTGAAAGCAGATGCAGGGGCAAGGGCTGGCACACAGGACCACTCCAGTAGTCCCGCCCACTAACGGCTACTTAGTGGTGATGGTGGGAAGAGTCACATGGCTGGAGTCCCAGTGGGAAAAAGAGCTCTGTCCTCAGATAGCTGTCAGGAGTGCAGCACCCAACTAAGCGTGATGGACCTGCTGTCCATATACATTCAGTGGGCATCATTGGGTCATGGACACGAGGATGCTGGATATCCTGTGAAAGGCTCTTCCCTTGTCAGCAACGGATGAGTGAGTCCTAGCTCCATGTGTTTTGCCCCCCTAGAGCTCAGATTCTGCTGAACTGCAGACATACATGGCTTGCAAGGAACTTTTAAGGACTGCTCAGGTGTAGTGGCTGTGGGGTCCTTGTAATGAGGAGTGGGGTGGGTCCCTAACCCTGGTGCCTGGCAGAGGTCCCATCTAGAACAGAGCGGCATTGGTGCCAAAGGAATGGAATGACCTTGAATGAGGCAGGGTTCTCCAGAGGCCAGCCAGTGAGAAATATAAGGGGATTTATTATCAGGACCTGACTCATGAGATTATGAAGGTGGACACGTCCCAAGATCCTGAAGACAGTAAGCTGGCGGGGCCGTACCCCTTGAACTCTATCCTTACACACAACCAGGCTCTCCAGACGGTGGTGCCTATAGACACTATGGCATCTTATCCGGAAACCGCTCACTGACATGCCCGTGGTGACATGTGACAAATGCAAGGATACCGGTAGTCTAGCCAGGCTGACACTGGGGTCTGCTCCAGCCATCCCAGACCCAACTTACTAGTTCCTAGGAAGAAACTTGAAAGGTAGTGCCTGGGCCATACCTTAGCAGCACTGTCCTCCTGACATCAGAATGGCAACTGTGGGTGTGGGTACACAGGCCCAAAGGTTGACATGTGTGCCATGAGATCCTTTTATTGGTGGTGATGGTGGGGTGTATGTTTGTGTTCTTGTTCATGAGTGTGGAGGCCAGAGGATGACCTGAGCTGTTGCAAGAACCATCTATCTTATTTTTTGAGATAGGGACTCTCATTGACTTGGCAAGTAGACTAAGCTGGATATCCAGTAAGCCTCAGAAATATGCCTGTCTCCACCTTCTTGGTGCTGGAATTGTAAGCATGAGCCATGAAATCCAACCTAACAAAACAAAACCAACAATTACAAACACATAAAATGTGTGCTCCAGGCCATGGAACTCAGATGCCAGGCTTGTAAAGCAAACACTTTTAACAACTGAGCCCTGGCCCCATTTTCAAGCATTTATTTTTATTTATATGGTGGTGTGAATATATATATATATATATATATATATATATATATATATATATATATATATATATATATATATGCCTTTTGTGTGTGGAGCCCACAGAGGCCAGAAAAGGGCATTCGATCTTTTGAAGCTGAAGTTATAGGTGGTTATAGGACACCTGTGGGTGCTAGGAACAGAACTCAGGTCCTCTAGAAGAGCAGAGAATGCCCTAACTGCTGAGCCATCTCTACCCCATCTTCTTCGAATAAGAATTTCCATCTTAGGTTGGAGCTTGTGATCCTTCGGCCTCAGTTTCCCCATATGCTGGCATTACTGGTATGTGCTGCATGCCTGGTCAGCTTTGTCGCCCTGCAGTGGAAAGGTAGCAAACGTCAGAAAGTCACTTGGCTAATATTTACAGTAGGATTTCAAGTTGCTCATTTCAGTGCAGAATGTAGATAAGTCTAATTTTAGATTCTGCGTCAAATATTTGTCAGTGTTCGTAGCTCAGGTGAGAGCACGGTGACGCTGGTGCTGTGGAAGAGCCATGCCTAGGGTGCTTCAGTGGTGGCTTTCATTTTCTGCTTCCTTCCGTCTGGTGCTGAGCACAAAACTGCCATCTGAGTCCCATTATGCCCTGTGTGTACCTGGTCTGCCTGTCACCTGTGTAGTCCCCAGTTGCTGTCCAGGGATAGGGTGGAGAGAACACAGTGTGAGAGGCAGGCCTGTATTTAAAGGAAAAACGAACAGCACTTCTGGTGACCTTGAGTCTTTTCCTTCTGTGTGATGTATGGCCATCCTCACCCTCTATCCTGCTTCTCGTGGTCCCTCTCCTGTCCTGTTCCACTGCAGTTTGAGAAAGTGAGTGCTTGCTTCGGGACAGGGGAGATGACTCAGGTAGTGAAGAGCCTGGTGCCCAAACAGGAGGACCTGAGCCGGATCCCCACTGTGGATGTAAAAGGACAGACCTGGTGACACACACCTGTAATCTCAGAGTAAGGGGAGCAGGCACGCAAAGATCTCCAGGACGTGTTAGGCGACTAGTCTGGCCAAACCAGTGAGCTCTAGGTGTAGTTAGAAACCCTGTCATAAAAAAAAAAAAAAAAGATATTGTAATTTTAAAAATAGACCGTAATTGAGGAAGACACCCATTGTTGGTCTCTGGCTTCTACATTGAATGTGCATGTGTGTGCGCGTACACACATATATGCAAGCTACTTTGCTGGCTGCATGTCGGGCCGCTATCCTGGCTGCCCAGGGAAGGTGTGACTGTTAACACCACCCCTGTCCCAGGGGCTCTCCTCTGGCACTTTCTCAGGACACCAGCTTATAGAGAAGTGTGGGCTCCGTGAGTAGTACCCCAGGTATGGTTGCCAGCACCACCAGTTACACCAGGAATCTCTACTGTTCACAGCCTCAGAATTACAACCACTGAGGCCTGTCAGTGTCAACAGGCAAAAGTCAGCCTGGGACCTGGCTAGGTGCTGGGTCACAGTGTCCTTCAGAAGATGGCTCCATTGTGCTGTGTGGACTCTGGAACCAGCCACATGATTCGTGGCCAAATTACCGCTGGCTGACCATCAATCATTTCTGCTCAAATGGCGGAAGACAGCTCAGACAGGCAAGGAGAAGCATGCAGGGTGGAGAGCAGGTCAGGGCAACCCAGAGTTGGGCTCACTCCATGTCTCAGCTATGCACACCGCTCAGTGGCCTCCATCCAATACCTGTTTTCAGTGTCTTCAGGTGTTGCCACACCTTCAGGGTATGCTGGAATCCAGTCCCCGGGATCAGGCTTGGTGTGACCCACTGGCAGCAGGGCTGTGGCCAGGAGTAAGACGCATGAGTGAGGGCCATGCTAAGTCAGTGGTGGGCTAAGTGGGAACTGAATGTTCATACAGGGATTTTGGCAGATTAGAGAACAGATAAAGGTTTACTAACAAGAAATTGTATTCATAGGATACACCCAGTGACAAGACACTTTCTCAGCCGCCTCTGCTGCATCTCACCTCCTGTGCTGCCAAAGCCCTCCTCACGAGGCTGGAGATGCCCCAACACGCCATGGGGGACAAGCATCGCCTCTCCCTCCCGAAGCTCCTCCTCACCAGCCCGTCCTCAGGCACAGACAGCGGGTGCGACACTCCACCCAGCAGCAGAGCGTCCCCGGCCTCTCTGCGCACTGCCCACGGACCCCTGGGCTCCTCCAGCCAACCCCTGTTTGAGCCCCAGGTGGAGAAGCGGAGTCCCCAGACAGCCCGTGAGGTGCAGTACGTGTCTTCGGGGCCACAGAACACACGGTGTGGCTGGCAAGCCTTCACTCCTGAGTGCCTGCAGGTCTTCAACACCCCCAAGGGCTTCCTGTTTTTCCTGTGTGCAGCCTCCTTCCTTCAGGGCATGACAGTGAATGGCTTTATCAATACTGTCATCACCTCCATTGAGCGTCGCTTCAATCTGCACAGCTACCAGAGTGGGCTCATCGCCAGCTCCTATGACATTGCTGCCTGCCTTTGCCTCACCTTTGTCAGCTACTTCGGGGGCAATGGGCACAAGCCACGCTGGTTGGGCTGGGGCGTGCTGGTCCTGGGAATTGGTTCCCTGGTGTTTGCACTACCCCATTTCACTGCCGGCCACTATGAGGTAGAGATGGATGATGGGGTGGGGACAGGGACATGCCTGGCCAATCGCAGTCACGTGGAGTGTAAGGACAGTACTTCAGGCCTGTCCAGCTACCGGCTGATCTTCATGCTGGGCCAGCTCCTACATGGCATGGGTGCCACACCCCTCTACACACTGGGTGTCACCTACCTGGATGAGAATGTCAAGTCAAGCTATTCACCCATCTATATTGGTGAGTGAGATTTGCCAAGGAGTCAGGATGGGTAGGCAGAAGGGACCAGCTGGTGACATGGAATGAAGTTGATGCCTTCTGGGAGTCTGGCTAGGTGATCTTTCTGTCCCTCCCTTGGTTATGACCCAGATGCCCCTAACTTGAAGTGGCACAGCCATCAGGGACAAGGGAGTGGATGCCAACTTTTCTAAAAAGCCCCATAGGGACTTCAGGCTAGAAATCTCAGTACATTCCCACTCTAGGTGGCTTAGGACCCCATGTCATCAGGCAGGGTGGCAAGGCTGGGGTGGGGTTAGCTGGCATCATGCCTCTGTGTCGTTTGGAAGGAATCCTGTGCAAAGGTAAGTGGGGAGGAATATAGCCTGGCACCTTGTGTGCCCTGAGTGTCCTCTGCCTGGCCTCACCAGGTGGTAAATATGAGGAAGAATCAGGAATGCTGACTTTGAGTCCCAGCCATAAAACAGTTCACAGCATCTATATCATGGCCTGTGTCCTTCTATGTAACTGCTTGAAATGCTGCTGAGCTCACTGTCTACCCAGTGGCCTCAGGCTTCATACCCTCTCAGCTCCTGCCCTGGTGGGGGGCAGGGGGCAGTAGGGAGTCCAGCAATCATCAATGGAGGGAAAAGGCCCCACTTTTTCCCTCCAGCAGCCTTCATCTCCTGCTTCTCCCACTATGCGTGCTTTTCCATGTTCCTACTGCATAGATGCTACCCGCACCATGCAAAACAAGAGTCATAGCATGTTTGCTTTCCTGTGAGTGCCAGTGATGTCCAAAGTGCACTTAGGGGGACATTTTAAAAGCTGATGTGACTCAGTGTCAGTCCCAGTTGTAGGCTACACAGACGCACTCCAACCTAAGGGGTCTACCTTGGGGCTACAGGCACAGGAACATGGTGGAGGCATCTCTCAGGAGGGCCCACCGAGTGGCGCATGACGGCTGCACACTGTTTGCCTTCTAGCCATCTTTTACACGGCAGCCATCCTTGGACCTGCGGCAGGCTACCTGATTGGAGGAGCCATGCTAAATATTTACACAGAAGTGAGCCAACGGTGAGTAACTGGGCATACCCACCTGCCTGCCTCAGTACCTGAGGTTCTGTGGGCCCTAAGGCTAGTTCTGATATGAACATCAGGGAAAATCTGGCTAGTCTTAGCTACAGGGACTGGGGGGAGGGGTGTAGAGAGACCCAGGTCTGTGGGTGGCTTTGAGGGCATAACCAAGGGAAAGGGGAGATGGGGGGAGGGCATGTAGATTCAAGTTCACAGGATTCTGAAGCCCTGGCCACGTTATCTTCAAAGCTCTTCTCTGTTTCTGTAGAGTGTGTGGTACTAATTTGTAAGTGTAAGTGGGCGAATGAGGTGTGAGGTGGATGGAGGGAGATAGACTGGGGGCTGGGGTGGCCCTTGCTGACGGCTGCCCAGCAAGGCCACCGTGGCGCATGGCCTTGCCCTGTGTCCTACCACAGAAGGGCAGCTCTCGTTGAGTTTTCCTGGTGGCTGTTCTGGGTCTCAGGCACCGCTCCACCTTGGGACTCTCTCTGCAGATGGCGCCGGCGAGGTCTCTAGTGCTCTGCCCTCTCACTTGCCGCCTCTAGCCCTGGGTTGATACTATGGGGTCAAGGGTGCGTGTTCTATGCAGAGCCTGAGGTAGGTCAGGGCTCATGTCCCTGGATCTGGATGTGGTGTGCTCCTTGGGCTCTGGGTTCTGAGTGAATCTGCACATGGGGGTGGGAGCATGATCCCTGGGGAAGCTTCCTGTTTTACCAGAGCAGAGGGTGTTGGCTGTCTCGAGCCCTTCCTCCATCCTTCTGCTCCTTTTCCTGCTGTGCCTCCATCCTTGCTTCCTCTGCATCTTCTTCCCAAGTATGAGATCCCATTGGCCAGTCGCTCCCTCCCCACGACTTGATTTGAGAGAGCCCCCTCTCCTCCTGTGCAGATGGCAGTCGGAGGCCTAATGGTCCCTGTGTCAGTAGCTCAGTGAACTCCAGCTGAGCCCTCTCTCCCCTGAGCTCTGTGGCCCTGAGGATGCCAGCTGGTGTGGGGAGGGATACCAGCTGTTACTTTGAAGCTCCTGTCCCCAATGGGCCTTGCCCCCAAGGTCTCAGTCTGAGGCCCAGTTGCAGCTTCCCTGGATCTAGCAGTCAGGGTCTGAGTGAGGAGCTGCTCTCTCAGGGAACAACCATACCGAGGGCTCCTCCAGTCTGAGGGAGAAGTGAACATGTGGCTGAAGCCCCAAGGGCCTCTGTCGCTCTCTGTGCAGAGATCTTAGGGGAGTGAGCAGACTAGCCCGTGCAGGTGCTGGAAAGGACATGGGTGGCTGATCCAAGGACCACTTTCTCCCAACAGGACGGAGCTGACCACTGACAGCCCACTGTGGGTTGGTGCCTGGTGGATTGGCTTCCTGGGAGCTGGGATTGCTGCATTCCTCATTGCCATCCCCATCCTTGGCTATCCCCGGCAGCTACCAGGTGAGTTCCCTGGCCTGGCACAGAGGTCCCATCCGGGTGGCAGAGTATATCCTTTCCTATCCTACCCCCTTCTCCCTGTCATTCCAACTAATGCAGACTGGAGTCTTTGATCTCAGTCTTCCTACCAAGTGGAGAGCAAAATTGACCCAAGCCAGCCTACTACCCACTTCTACAACAAGTGACCTCCTTCACCTCCATTCCTGCTGGGCTCACATGGCTCTCTGCCCTCATAGCTGCAATTATGTCACCTGACAACTTCACCATCAGGCATAACACATTCCCAGGGCCCAAAGGGTGGGAAAGTTGGGGAGGGAGGTGATCTCCGTGAGGTATGTGACATCCTCTGAAAGCTGAAGCTGTCTCCTGACTCTATCCCTCCAGGCTCCCAGCGCTACGTCATTATGAGAGCAGCTGAAACGCAGCAGCTGAAAGACCACAGCCACAGAGCAGTGAGCAATCCGGCTTTTGGCAAGACTGTCAGAGACCTGCCCCTGTAAGGAGTGTGTTATGTGTTGTTTTTGCGTGTGTGTTATGTTGTGTGTGTGTGTTGTGTTGTGTTGTATGTGTGGTGTGTGTGTGTGTGTGTGGTGTATATGAGTGCGTTATCTGTGTGATGTGTTGTATATGTGTGCTGTGTGTATGTGTGTGTTGTGTTGTGTCGTGTATTGTGGGCCCCAGGTCCCACATGTGGCCAGTGTACCATCCATACCATCCACAGCCTCTTAACCCCCTTTTGACCCACCAAGCACCCTTAGCTGTGGGTAGCAGAAGCTCCTGGATAAAGGCACAGGCCCTGGTTGAGGCCAGAAGCACTGTGGGAGCCCCCCGCCCCAAAGTGAATGTCTTCCCAGAATTATGCCTACCTGTGTACCTACAGGCCCGGAGCCCCTACCAAGGGAGCCCCTCGGCAGTGTAGGCCACTCTTGTCTTTTCATTGGCTATCCCTGTGCATTTGCTATCAGAAGCTTCAAGGAGGTACTATTCTGGACTATCCACACGACAGAGAATGCCAGGAGTAGGGGCCTCTTCTAGCGCTTGCCTCCCTCACTGACCATGCCCCTCCTCTAGGGTGGTCCTTTTCTGTGCTTACTGTCTTCACTCCATCCACTCTCTGTCTGTCTGTCTGTCCTGGCTCTAAGACCCCAGTAGCTCAGAGACTGTCCCTTGGTTCATAAGGACAGCAGGGCCAAAACAGACTATGGAAATCTCAGTTTTGTAAGGAAGAGCTCCTAGAATCCCTGGGACCTACCTACTGTCTCTTCCTTACAAAACTGAGATTTCCTTTGACCTAGGCAAGCCAGGCCTTAGGCCACATTACAACCCCATCACATGTCCTGATCTTATGAATGACCACTTGGGAGTAGAGGGCTGATATGGGTTTGACTGAGTTCCACAGTCTATCCTTCACACAGACAGCCCAGAATAAAGCTAGGCTGGTGAAAACGGAAATGCAAGATCTCACAACTGTGAGCTCTTGGGGCTCTGTGTCTCACAACTGCTCACCTAGGAGAGCTAGGAAGCTGCCTAAGAAGGATGAGTCCCAGGCGTGACTGAACTGGCTGAGGGCCTACAAGCCATGTATAGTTGTTGGCCTTAAAGTTGGTCTTTCCTAACCCCAACAGTGGAGCTGTCCAGCGTTAAGCCATCTGAGGCAACATAGCATGGCATGAGCTTTGCCCAGCTGGGGAACCGGGGCCTCTTACTGTGCATTATACAGTAAGGGGTTCATGCCCATGGTTAGTGTCTGCAGCCAGGTACTGGAACTAAACAAGGCCAGGAATGTGTGCCTCCATTCTGATCATGGAACTCACGATGGCTCTCAATGCAAACTCAAGAATCTCAGCCAACCAGCCTACAGTGGGAATTAGATACCGTGTGTAACATGCTCCACGTGTCAGAGCCACCCTGTCCTCAACAACCATAGCCTGAGGCTAAGTAGGTCTAGGCAATGCAACAGGAACGGAGCAGCCTGTGCACGGCTATCCCGAAACAGATATATCCACAGAGCCAGCAGGAGAGGGGCTGAGAGGGGCCTGTACTCTGAGCCTGTAGGTCCCTGTTAGGGTCAGGGTTCCTCCATGCCTGCCTTCTTTATCAGAACATGAAGCTGAGCAATTGGCTGGAATGACTTTTCCACCCTCAGGAAGTAAAAGTTAAAAGAGTTGAGTGTGCCCTCCCTGCGAAGGGAGCCTGTGAGTATCTCCCTGGGACCAGTCTGACCGCTCTGTACTCTACTCTGTGTCCAGGAAGCAGTGGGTTCTTGCCAGTGCACGGCCCCCTCTCGGAGCCTGCTGACGGCAGGGCTGTGAGCTGATCCTTGTTTCTCTTCAGAGCATGGCGTAGTTTGGCCCATCTCCTTCCCCATACAGAGCTCAAGTGTGAAGCTATGTGGAGCTGCTTTGGCTGATGCTCAGGACTGCCACCTCCTAAGTCACTCCAATAGAGTGGCTCTCATGGGGGGAGGGAGCAGGCAGCAGCTCACCCAGCCTTGATAAGCTGAAGGTGCAGAATGGACACAGTGCAGCATATGAGCAGTACTGTCACACCCTGGGAGCCAGTCCTCTTCCCAGACTTCTAGATGCAGCTTTAATGTGCGGAAGCCAGGGTAGCTCCTGCACCATGAACCGATTTCAAGGCACGCCCTGGCCCTGTATGACCTGTGACAGAGATAGGTGGCTATGGAACAGTGACCAGCTGTGTCCCCTAAGCTTAAGGTGATGGCTATCATAGAGGTTCCTGGTCCAAGCTCTGCTACCGAGGGCTCGGTGATATCTCATATTCAACCCCATAGTCAGCACACAGCCCTCACCCCAGGGAAGCCGGAGCCTGACTCCCAGCTAGCAGGTAGGCGGTGCCTTTAGAATTGCTGCTCAGACAGGTGTGCTGCCTTGGCCAGCGTCTGTGCTGCCACACCTGGCTACTCTGCCTTGTGGCCCTGGGAAGGCAAGTCGCCTTCTCACCTTGTGGCTGAGGGTGCGGCTGGTGGCTTTTACATCCCAGACAGGATGGCAGATGGAGAGGAAGAGCCAGGTGAGGGAACTGAGGGAATGGCAGAGCTGGGGCCTTGGAGTCTCAGGACTCCAGGCCAAAGTCACCATGGGCTTAGCAGACCATATTTGACTATTACCACTCCTACAACCACTGTCCCCTAAGTTCAGGCCAAGAGAAGGGGAGCAAGCCAGACCTACTCAGATTCCCTGAAGGCCCGTTTCCAAACCAAGAAGATGCCTGCTCCTTTTCCCCATTGCTTGTGGTTGGGACCCTGTACCTCTCGTGGTGACTCCTACCCCTTCTAGATCCCTATAACTGGGTGACTTCTTACCCCTTGGATACCCCTGACCCTTGGTGGGCCAATCTTTTGATGAGCCCCATCCCATTAGAGACCTCAGCCCTTAGTGAATCCTACTTCCCTAAAGACCCCTATCCCTTTGATTACCTAGCTTCTTGGTGACCTCCACCTCTCGGTAGCCCTCTTCCTAGGCCTGTCCAGCCCTGAACTTGGTGGTCACCATCTCTCTAACCCTTTCTCAGAGCCTCTGCTAGATCGTCACAATGGCGAGGTGTGATGGCTATCTTCATCCCTTGGGTCTGTCCATGTCCCCACACTGAAACTAGAAATCAGTCACAGCGGGGACCCAGTCTCTGTAGCTGGTTATAGCAGCTTTGCGAACAGGTGTACCAAGGACTCATTACCTACCAAGGCCAGACTTTCATACCCCCCCCCCCGTCTCTGATATACATGTGGGTACCACTTCACTTCTCAAAGCCAGGCCCCTTATGTGTGGATAGCCTCAGTAATGGCAGGTTCCTTGCATGCATTGGCCCATTCTGACCCTCTGTCATTTTCCGTTCTCTATTCCCCTTTCACCCAGCTCCATCTGGCTCCTCCTAAGGAACCCCACATTCGTCCTGCTCTGCCTGGCAGGAGCTACTGAAGCCACGCTCATTGCTGGCATGTCCACATTCGGTCCCAAGTTCTTCGAGGCCCAGTTCAGCTTGAGTGCCTCAGAGGCTGCCACTTTGTTCGGTAAGGAGACCCTGAGCATGGGAGTGCTCTGCATCAAAGGCTCTGATGCCTTCAGACACCAAGTGGATGGTTCTCTAAGAGGGAGGGTAGGCCACTTTACCCACCATTCATGACACAAAGGGTTTGGGCCTGGCTATCTCAGTGAGCCATTCAGCTGGTGCCCCAGAGTCTTGGCGGGGGGGAGGGTCTAAGTTTGAGTCTCTGTACCTGCCTGACAGAACTGTGTGGTAGGCTGGCCTGGCAGGGACCATCTAGAGCCCTTACTTTACCAGCCCACAGTCTCCCTATGCTGAGGACAGGGCCATAGCTTTGCTGATCATACCTTTGGCTGGAGATGCCCTATGTGCTGGTCAGTGCCGGGCTCAGCCTAGGGTATTGGCCAGTGTAGAAAGAAGCCACCAAATGCAGCCCACCCTGTAGGTCTCATTGTCTGGGTCGTGAGAGGGAGTCACATTGGTGACCCCATTCTCCACAGACACATCCTTACCTGGCCAGATGCCCACACCTGATGGCTCCCTCTCATTCTTAGCACTTTCTTGTGCTGACACCCCCGTCCCTTGTACGCCCACGATACACCCGAATCACTGAGCTCTGGGCTTCCAGGTACCCTGCGTGGTCTGAGAACCCACCCTACTCCCACAGCTATCCCTGAGCAGCCACGGGCAGGGGTTATTCTCCCACTCCTCAGTGTCCACAGTAATCATGCAGAAAGGACAGGGCTAGGGTTTGGAGCCCTCAACTGAGTCCCTTCCTCAGGATACCTGGTGGTGCCAGCGGGCGGTGGCGGCACACTCCTGGGTGGCTTCCTGGTGAACAGGTTCAAGCTGCGTGGCTCCGGGATCATCAGGTTCTGTCTGTTCTGCACCTTGATCAGCCTGCTGGTCTTCTTGGTCTTCCTCACTCACTGCCCCAACGTGCCCATGGCAGGTGTGACCACTGGTTATGTTGGGAGGTAAGCCTGGCAGAGGCCCCCACCCGTGGGGGTCCTGCGTTCCTGAGGGGGGGGGGCTGGCACAGGTGGGGAAGCGTCGGTTATGGCAACGTACGGGCAGCGTCATGCCATCGACGGCCGTTTCCATAGCCTCCTGCCTGAAGGCCACATGGATCTGAAGGCGGCTTGCAACGCCCTCTACTGCTGCCAGCCAGAGCACTACAGCCCCCTGTGCGGCTCCGATGGCACCATGTACTACTCTCCCTGCTACGCAGGCTGCCCTGAGGGTGCTGGGACAGACCTGGGTGGCCAGAAGGTGAGTGTGGTCACTGCCCACTGCCCTGCTCTGGTCGGGACCCTGGGAAGCTTCCGCCTTTGTGTGATCAGCACTGTTGTTGGGCTTCCCAGGTATACCAAGGCTGTAGCTGTGTCCTTGAGGTTCCCTCTGGCTTGGGCAATGCCACCGCAGGGAAGTGCGCTTCCACCTGTCAGAGAAAGCCCCTCCTTCTGGTTCTGGTGTTCCTTGTAATTGTCTTTACATTCCTCAGCAGCATTCCCGCCCTGACGGCTACTCTACGGTAAGAGGCTCTCACCACAGTTTTCTCTTGCAGTACCAGCAGGTGGCGCTCTAGAGATGCTGCTGGGCCCTGGGGTAGCAGCTGGTCCAGGAATTGGGCTTCGTTTTAGTGGCATTGGAGTTGAATGTCTCCGGTCCCCAATGAGGTGCTTGGCACCTAGGGAGGTGGTGATATGGCCTGGAACTTGGCACTCTTGCTGGTGTAGGGTTATGAGGTGCCCAGCCAAGCTTCCATGGGCTCTGACGTCGCAATTCCCATTGCAGGTGTGTCTGTGATCGGCAAAGGTCCTTTGCCCTGGGGATCCAGTGGATCGTCGTGAGAACGCTAGGTACTGTGTGGGCTGAGGAAGCCGTGTACATATATGCAGTGTGTTCATGGGAAAGGAACCTAGAGGTGTCCCATCACTGGGAAGGGCCTTTTCCGGAACTGCCCACTAGAGGGACCCATTGTCATTTATTAACCCAGTAGGTTTCTTTGCCTCAACCCAAGACCCCTGAGAAACCACGGCACTCCTTGCCCAATGCCAATTCTTCAGAAAAAGGAGCTAAGTCCCCCCTTTGCCCCTAAGAACACAAATGAGCAGTATGGCCTTAGGATCCACCCTTTCTTCCCTTGTCAGGGTTCTAAACAAACTCTGTCCTTTGGCAGGCAGTATTCCAGGTCCCATTGCCTTTGGCTGGGTGATTGACAAGGCCTGCCTGGTGTGGCAGAACCAGTGTGGCCACCAGGGCTCCTGCTTTGTGTACCAGAACGCAACCATGAGTCGCTACATGCTCATTGCGGGACTCCCTTTCAAGGTGAGATGGCCTGCTGGAGGAGTCGAGTCGGCCTTCGCTTCAGCCACTGTCCCTCTGTCTTTCCCCACCCACTGTTTTCCCACCGGCCTCCTACCTTGACCTCCTACCTTGTCTTCTATGAAGGCACAGCCATAGGGTTAGGGCCTCCCTGAGGTCTCTCCTCACCCCCAGGGAGGCTTTGTTGTTGTTCATATTTTCTAGGGACAGGGGTGGCACGGTTTCTTAGGGGACTCTGTTCAGCTCGTGCCAGGGCCTTCTGCCCTGCCTTGGACCCAGCTTTTAACCAAATGGTAGTTTTCATTCTCTAATTGAAGAACTGGGGTCTCGTGGGAGGGGCAGGGGGATGCTCATCATGCAGGAAGGGTGTGCCTTTGTTCCAGAAAGAGTAGGGCAGAGTCCCCAGGCCGCTGAGGGCCAATGCCTCCTCCTCTCTCCCTAGGTGCTGGGCTTCCTCTTCTTTGTCGCTGCCTACTTTCTATACAAGTCCCCTTCAGGGTCCTCAGATGGCCTGGAGGCCTCCCTGCCCAGCCAGTCCTCAGCCTCTGACAGTCCCACAGAACAGCTCCAGAGCAATGTCTGACCACTGGCCCCTCCACATTTCCTGAGGACTCTTCTTGGAAACCCTGACCCACCCCCCCATCCTCATAGGGCGGCAATGCTGAGGACCCTGCAAAACCTCACACTGCATTCTGGGGCCTCTCACTGTTCAATACTGTGACTGAGCAGCCTCAGAGACACTAAGGAGGAAGAAGCGTCACATAGGAACCAGAAACATTCCCCAAGCCCTGGAGTCTCTAGGGGTCACTACATTTCATAGACTGTCAGCCACCTGGTCCTGACTTCCTGTGCCTACTGAGAAGACCCATGCAGGGCAGCAGTACCCTGGGTGGCATGATCCTGTGGAGCCAGCTATTTGGTGTTTTGCTTGAATCTGCTTTTACTGCCTGTCCTGGAAGCCTGGTGGCCTCTGTGCTGGGCGGGAGCGACTTGAATCATTATGTCTGGACGTATATTTTGCACTGAAAGGCGTTTATGGAATCAATTTTGTACCTGATCGTGCGACTTGTGTCCAAGCAAACTGCAGTGAGGGTGTGATCCCATCTGAGGTGCCACACAGGTTGCGTGAACAATGTGTTTCTATGGTTTTTTTGGTTAAGAGTGTGTACATAATATATTTTAATATTTAAAGCAACAATCCTTGTGTCATGTTTTATTTCTCTGAGCCTATGATTTTGGCAGGTCTGTCTGACCACTTTTCGTGTAGGTTTCCATAGCAATAGGCTGTCCTGGGCACTTCCTACAAAACTGCCAGGGCGCATCCCCACTGCCTTTGTGACCAGAAGCAAGGCAACAATGGTGAAGGCTCTTGCCCCTGGCCCCAAGTAGACAGGCTTTAGCCCAGACCTCTGGACTTCTCCCCCTTTCTGAATGACTCAGGCCCCATCTGTGAACTTTGGGGTTGGGGACGGGGTGGCCAGATACTGCAGTGGTAAGGCATGAGGTGTGTGTGGATGTGTGATCACGGGTACTTTGCAGATACAAGCGTCTGTAGCACGAGGGTCGCGTTGAGCTGTGAGTGCAGACTTGAGAGGCACGCACACACACAGGCACACAAGCACACACAGAGATGGCTCTGCTGGCAACCCAACTCCAGAGGAATGAAGAATTCAGGGCCTCTTCATAGCCACCTCGCAGCCAAGCCCCGCACATCTGCTGAGAAAATGCCAATGTGCCATGTTTGGGATCCCACAAGCCTTCCTGTGTGTTGGGCAGCTGGATAAGAGGTGTAAATTCATGCATGTAATGGTCAGAGGACAACTTCCATTGTCATTGCTTGAGCACTGTCCACCTTGTTCTTTGAAACACTGGCCAGGACTAGGCTGTCTGACCAAGGGATCTGCCTGGCTCTTTTTCCCTAGCACAGGGATTGTCAACGTGTGTGCTGTCATGTCTGGCATTTCACGTGGGTGCTAGGGAGCAACCTCATGCCCTCATGCTTTCACAGCAAGCACATCAGCAAACTGAGCTGTCTCCCTCATTTTGAAAGGCTTGGCACCTCCGCTGTGACCAAGGCCACTCTACTCATCACAAGTGGACATGCAGGTCACAGCACCTAAGGGCTGAAGCCCAGGCTCTCTCAGAGTTCCTGTCTAGGGAAGTGATGCTTCCTTCAGGAAGACACAAGGCACCATGCTATCACACACAGAGAGCCACACAGTCACATGGACAAACAGACACACACAGAGAAGGGGACACCCCACACGCTGGCACTCCACCTCAACCTGCACTGCTATTAGCACTTAAACAGGGTTATGAGCGATGAGGACAGGAAGGCTCTTTGTGTAGGCAGATGCCCAGGTGAGCCGACCTGACTTTCTGCCCTGGAACCTGCTGGGCACCACCAGCTGGGCAGTGGAACGCTTGGGCCTCTGTTGGAAACCTTGTCCTCTGGGCTCACGGCAGCCACTCCCAGGGGTGTGTGACCCTAAAGAGCCTGCTTGGCTTTTCTGTGCCTTGATTTCCTCTTCTGAAGAAGAGGACTCTGTGTGCCCTGCCTCATAATGGCTGGTTGTTGTTCACATCAGCTGCTGCAGTGGGTTCAGACACTTGCCTGGTATTCATGCTGGGGTCCGAACACCTGGCCATACCTCTCACCTGGGTGCCCCACTGAGGAGCTGACCAAGTCCACAGTAGCTTCAGCTTACTGTATCCCTGAATGACTCACTCACTCACTTTGTTGTCTGGGCACTTTGATATCGTCTGTGCATTTTTAGCCGAGACACTGATATTCAGTCAACCTCACCTAGAGAAGAGACTTTACAGAAATTCCATGAGTGGCCCTTTCATGAAACACAAGCTAAGATTTCCCTCCTTGGGGATTTTCTGGTTAACTGTGTGTATTTTTATCTGCCATGATTGGTCACCCTTAGTGTGGGCATCCAGGCACAGAGTGACCTCAACCCAGAAAAGGTTCCTTCTGAGGCCATCGTGGGGGGTGGGGGTGGGAGAAAGAGGAGTCAAGAATCACCAATCCAGAGACAGGAGCCAGGCCCCACAGGTGTCCCAGGTGCCCTCAAGATAACCAAGACTCAAGCCATTCCATCTCTTTGTCCCTCATGGTTTCCTCCTTAAGACAGGGCCCCAGGATCTAGATCCCTTAGGGCACCAAGACCTCAGGGACTCAAGCAATGCAAAGCCCCAGGGTGCTAGCGTCCAGAGAGCATCTGTGGAATACAATGACTCATGTGACCGCTGAAGGTGACTGTGTGCCCTACCTACCCTGCTAGTCATCACACCAAGAGGAAGAAATTCACATACCATGACAGAAAGCTCATGGTCCTGACCCGAAGGGCAGCTTTGAAGATAATCTTTTTTGCTGTCAGGGGGTTCTGGGCATTCTCAGGTTTCCCTTGGTGTCCTCAGAACTCCTATAGTCAAGATCCCCCTGTAATCAGAGAGCCAGTAGGGATAGCAACATCTTGGCTTGCCAAGGCAAAGAGACAAAGTATAGGCGGGGAGCACCCACGTTACTCCCAAGTGGGCTCAGCTGAGGGGGTGTCAGACAGGGCTGCCCTCTGGGGGCGGCGGCTTCCTAAACTCTGCCTCTTTTGAGTTGGCAAGGTTGGGGGCTCATTTCTCACAGCAGATCTTTCTAGGAGACCAGTGCTGTGTCCACGACTGGGCTGTTAAAGCTGTGGTGTTCAGTTGGCTCTTCTCTGGTGTTCACACACCCTGAGTGAGGCACAGTGGCACAGGCACAGAGTGGCAGAAGGCAGCAGCAGTCTGCCCCATACCTGGCTAGTCTCCAGCATCCTTGGGGTCAGCAAGTGAGGGCCACATTAACCAGGCTGCCTGTGTGGAGAAGACAATCCCAGGCCTGGGTGGCACTGATGGGAGCCCACAACATCCTCTTGGTCTTCTGTGAAGGAAACTTCTGGTAGCTGTGACGAGATATACTAAGCATCGAAGAAGAATGCTTCTGCTCTATGGCCTGGAGCTCTTTTCAAGTACCCAATGCCAGTGAAGAGTCAATGGCTGTTGGTCCGTACGCCTTTTATTCTTATATTCAGCTGAAAACAATCACATAATTGCAGAATTGCTTTAGGCCTCGGACGACACCTCCCCTTTCCTGGTCAGCAGACAGCTGGTAGAATAACTGTCTCTTTAGTTCATAGCTCCGAAGTTGGAAATAAAGGGGTTCCATGCCTCCACAGGGGCTGTAAACTTGGAGAGCTGGGTGCCAGGGGGTGGCATAGCTGGGATCTGCATGCCTGGAGGCCACATGCTTGCCTGTGTATACTATGGCCTAGGCTGTCAGGCCTGCTATGTGCTGGTCCCTTTCCAGCAGGCTGTTCCAGGCCGAACCCTCCCCACACCATGACAAATGCCATTCTCACACCCAGTATCCCATGGCTTCCTTGAATTGGTCCCGGATCCCAGGGCACAAAGCCCTCTGTGTCCCATGCCAACCCAGTGGAGATGGAGAGCATCTGTTAGGCCTCGTCCCCTTCCTGAGCTGGCCAGTCCCTGCTCCCTCAGCAGAGGCCTGGCCTGGAACATACCACTTATGGAGTAGCTGGGCCTGTTGCTCTCCCGAAGACTCCACTCCATGGAGTTGGAAGCTTGTACATCACCTTTCTGAGAAGTTGCTCGTGCACATATTCTAGACTATCTGACTCAGAGTCTGGAAACCTATGTCCTTCAAAAAAAAACCTACCCCATGGTACCCAGGTCCTTGGAGAAGCACTGACCCCCAGAGACCTCTGAGCAGGTGTGGCAAAGGTCATTATGGTTTAAGAGGGACAGGAGGGTGCAAGACCTCACTACCCTCCCAGAACCACCACAACCCAAGACCTTGCTAAGGCCCTGCGGTGTCCACATGTATTTAGGGTGGACCACACCCTCGCTGAAACAGTTGATGACATGTATTGTACTGGCATGGGTGCAATCTGAGAGGCCCTCAAAGGCCCACTGTGACTGCTGGAAGGTGCTCAGGTCACTGATGGCATCAGGCTGTGCCCCTGTAACCCTTTCCGGCTTGGTGAGAGGGTTGCTGCAGAAGAAGCATGCTACCCACAGCTCTGCTTCCTGGAGGAGTAAGCAGTAGAGCCACTGGCTCCTCTCTCATCCCCAACTGCTGTCCATGAGGCTACCTTCACCAGAACCTGAATGTCTAGACTGTGAGCTAATGAACCTTTGGTATTTCATTATAGTGATGAAAAGATGTCTGGTTCCAAACTAAACAGGAAGGTACAGAAGGACTCCAGTAATGGCTGCAGCAATGACCTTATGCAAACCTTGAAGACGGGATGTTTTGCATATATATGAGACAACACCTTCTGCCTCTGTCACATCAGCCTGAGAGGGCATGCAACCACAGGATCCTAGGACCTTGTCATGCCTAAGTGACACAACAAACAGAATCTGAAATGATAGGCCGAAGCCAAGCCAGATATTAAAAGCTCAGAACATCGAAATGAGCTAACAGAATATCACACAACTACCGGCTCTGCAGTCTTAGCCAGTCCTGCTGTGGATAAGCCTGCCGCACATCAGCCTGAGAGGCCATCTGGCGAGAGGGAGCTGAGGCAGGCAGAGGGTTAGGGAGGAGGCGGATACTGCAGGCACTCCAAGCAACGGAGAGTGAAGGTGAGGAACACCAGGGACATGGAGGCCACCCGATGATCAGGCAAACCTCGAGGCTGTGAAAATAAGTCCAGCTTTCTGCCCCACCTCCATGGCTATGACAGGGAGTGTCCAGGAGGAGAACAGCGCTCTACCACCCAGGCTCAGCCACAGCCGGAGGAAGCTGTCTAAGACATCAGGTCACGACTGACACTGGCCGAGGTGACCACCAAGCCTGGTGTGAACATCTGCCCTTGTCCTTCTAGTCACACCCAGGCCATCCAGAATCACTCTGCTCTGGCCATACACACACAGGCATGTACACATATGCCCACAGGAGTATGTACACGCATGTGTCCAGGCACACAGATGCAGAGCTGTGTGCTTACAACTAAACATACACACATCCGTATGCATATACCAGTAGGCATGTACTTATGCAAAGGCCCTGTCCCCTGCCCCAGGGGCCTTTGCATAAGTACTTCCAACTCCTCCAAGACACCTCTCATCGACTCTGTCAATCTGTGGTTGTTCTGGGAACAATTGCCACTTACTTCTTAT